ATTCAATTGTAGTAATCTTGTTGATGCTATAAAATAAGAATTTGAAATTCGATTAAATATCCTATTAAATTATGAATATTATAAATTTTTTTTAACTATTACTATTAATACATTGAATTCAACTATTGAAGCCAAGTTCATAAGAACTTTTAGAAATTAGCATTTTTTAGATAAGATAATATTTATCGATGAAAAACTCGCCATATTCTGAGGCATAAATCTATATCAAATTTTTATTTATGATTTAAGATAATAATAAGCATTTTACGATCCAATATCTGAAATAAAAATGCTTTATGATCTGACAATATAAAGTTATAATAGTACACATTATGTGGTCTTTCATTTTTCATAAAATGAAGCATTTTTAATAGAGATTGGATATGAGATTAGTGTTATTGAGAAAGGTAAGTCCAATAATTGTAATTTAATTGCTGAAAATGGGGTATCAAAGGCTGAAGTTTAGGTAATTATTTAATAAGAACAAATTAATAACAACATTAACTATAAAAGTATTATACTATCGATTTTTGTATGCATAGCGATTGTTTTACTAATTTTTATATTAAGAAGATAAAAATTAAAGAATAATAATATAAGATTATTCAAGCCAATATCGTTAGATTAATCAAAACTATGATGATTTTATAATAAAAAATTATATAAATTTATTAGACTACAATCTACTTTTAGATTAACTCTAGATTTTTCATGATTAGATAATTGAATTCATTAATATATTAAGAAGCAAATTAGAACTGTTTGTGCAAAGAATTATACATTAATCAATTTGTTTAATACGGTACAGCTTAGTATGATTTTGGAAAGTTCATCCCCTTTAGAGTTTTGACTAGACTATGCTTATCATATGTGCTGCTTATATTAGATGTATGAACATGGTAAAATGAAAACAAAAGAAATCTACTATCATTTAATGACAGATAATTAAAAGGAATTTCTTTAGAAGAATGTTGGGACTCAACAAGAGCTTCTCCAAAATTTAATAGGCTGGAGTTTGATGTAGGCAAAACAGTATATCAGAAACCAATTGAAGACGTTCTTATTCATGAAACATTCATATGGGTTCGATTCAGAGGGCCTTACATGTTTACAAAACAAGTAACCTTTAAAATAAAACCTCTGGAAAAACCAGTAGATCAATGATATATATATAAGAGGCGATCCTAGAAGACTATAACTTCTTAGACGATTAATTGAACATATCCATGAGACCTCTCTGACTTAAAAGCCGGGAAAAGGTCTTAAGTAAGATGGAAAAAATATTAGTGATAAACTCAAATAAACATTCCGAGAGACTAATCTGACCACAGATCAACGGAGTATTCCAGGACACGAATTCTTCAAGCCTTTTCAACATGGTTGGAGGAAATGCTAGACTCATGGTAAGAACATGAAGCTTAACCATCTTATGGATCACATATTTGGAGAAGAGAGCAACTGGCTGGAAAAGATGGAAGAAATTTTAGACTATATTTACATCTTAGAAGTAAAGTATTTCTGCTCGGTGCAGAATCTATTAGGAATTTATGCAGATGATCGTGGCCGGAATTAGGAAATTAGTTATTCTAAATGTAGCCCATATCAAAAAAAGGTTCAAAAAGAAAAACCTAATGAACATCAATCATCATTATTATAATTATTATCTACAAAGGGAGTTTTGGAAATCAATCTTAAGGTTCAAAATGATGTAGAATTTCAATCCCATCAAAACCTCATGACTCTAAAGAAATGTTTATGAATCTAAACTGGATCATCCGGTTTAATATCTTTATCTGAATTAAAAGGATATTCCTACCATTTCGAATCTTCTCTTTAATATTGATATTATCTGCCAATGGTATTGAGTAACTAAAAAGGGTCTTTAAAGTTCATCAACCAATAGCATGTCCAGAAATACTTGAAGCCTTCAAAATAATGATTTAATGCCTCCCAACATCAAACGAGAATATCCAATCTATCCCCTGCTCTTAAAAACATTGGCAGAGACTCAGGATAAACAAATTGTATCTCTGCCATGAGTTTTCCTCAGCCAAATTAGCTCCAATTAAGTAGGAAATTTGCCTCGAGCAAGCTTGGCTTGTAATCATTCTATTGTATGGGATTACTACAAAACTCATTCAAAAAATATCTATCAAGGCTAATATCACTTTGCCTTAAACCTATAACCTTTCTATTCATTTCTTTGCCTCTTTCTAGATCTCTGGGCAACTTATTTTCTTTTGTTGCACTTAACATATCTTTTTATTAATATGCTTTCAATAAATAGATTAGATCAAACAACAAGTATCAAAACTTTAGCTGTCAAATTCGTTTTTTAACACTCTGCTTTTGATTTATTTGTAAACAAACTTTGAATAATTGCTTACTTAGATTTGGCAATTAGTAGAATACATATTATTTTATTTAGGAATCTTCAATCTTTTCTGAATTTAATTTTAGATTAATTAAACTTGTATTTTTTTCTATATATAAAGTAAATATCTATTTTTTATAAAGAGCAAATGATGTGATAAAAGGAGGAAAAAAATATTAAAGAGTTGTAGTTGGATAATCAAAATTTCAATGACAGTATTGAATTTTTCGAAATTTTTCTTTTCGAAAATTAACACAAGCAGCATACAATCTCTTTGCCTAATACGCTGCAAATGGGATTCCGAGCAGTTTTTAAAGTTAAACTGATAAATTCAAACGGTAAAAAATTAGAAAACTCCATTTCTCCTTAAAAAAAGTTAGATCTAATTCAGTTCCCTCTATTCATTCAAATAGAAATAGTCTGCTCTTTTTAAACAATAAGAATAGGTCAATAAACTTTTGTATTTGAGTTTAAGAATACCTAGGATTAATTACTTGCAAAATCTCTCATTTTACAGAAATATTTCCAATTAATACCTTTTATTTTCTCTTTTTGAATATTTTTGCATCACTTTGTTTAATTTGCCAACAAGAAGCTTATGTATTGACTTTAATAAGTCATCATTAAATTAAATCAAAATTTTAAAAGTCCTCCACGAATAATACTTGAAAACTATAGTAACACTGTAGTACAAAATTGAAATAAAGAGTTCTCTAATGATGTCATAATTGAACATCCAGAGGTAAAACCCCTTCCTCACCAAATCCAATTAGAAGAAAAGTTTGATGAGTGGATGGGATGTATTAACATCTTGAGAGATCAGCAACTGCAAAGGGGGAAGTAAGTTAGGTTTAAAAATGGGGCCTGATTTCCCTGCTGAGTAAAGCTGCTCGGAGGATGATAATGAATTAAGTGTATTTAGTACAGTCTAATGCCGGATCAATATAGGACAGAATGATTTAAATAATTCAAACTGGTCTCGACCAAACAGATGCTTGAAAAATTGTGATTATGAATTATTCGGAATAAAAATTATTTTGATTAGCGATTATCAAAAATCATTCAACCAATAATAAATTTAAGATAAAATCATAAGTGTCATTAGATAAAGCATAAAGAATAAGTCTAAGATCCTAACACTGTCCCTTCAACTGCATGAATCTTATTGGATAATTCATTATCAAACTAATATTATAAGGCAATATCTATATTATCTTAAAATGCTAAAAGCTTTAATTATTAGTAGAATTATTAAAATATAAAGCGTATTCTTGAAATGTCTTTTCATATTTTAATTACAAACATGCACGGATATTCAAAAAAATATACACTTAAATGTATTAGAATTTTATTAATTCATAAACTTCATAACCCACGACATAAAAATCATTAATGAGATGATGCCCATCTCTCGGAGATTGGCATAAGAGTAATAATCTAGATCTTAAGAATTGTGCTTATATGATTGAATTCTAAAAGGTTTAGGGTCTTTTGATTAAAAATTCACTAAAAACTCTTTAGTTGTAATATAATCTTTAGTAGAGTTCTTCTAACTATAAAGATTAATGATTGGTTAAGACTTATTCTAAAATATGTTGAATTACATGTGAGATTTTACCTGAATAGTAAAAACGTAAATTATAAGGAATGTGAACTTATTAGGGCTGAGTAACAAATTATACTACAAAAACGAGATCAAGGAAGCTTCGAAATAACTAAACATAATCGGACAGATTTCTTTGTTATGAATATTTTTTATCAAAAGTGACATTTTTGAGATTTATTTAATCAGCCATTTTTAGTGTAAAGGAGATATGATTCAAGGATATGGAAAAGGTTAAGGCCATGTTCTCACGCTCTAATAAATTTGAGATCGATCGTTATATTTATTCAGCTAGTTTGGTAGAACAATGTATGATAAAGCACATAAAAAATACTAACTAAAAAGGTGAAAATAAATGATATATATATTGAATCGCTTTTTGCATACAGCGGCCAATTAGAACCAACAAAGTTTATTTTAAAATAGACTGATAATTAAACTACAAACTTTAGCTAATTCATCAGTAAAATAAAACTAGACAAATTGACTAAAATCTGAAAGAGGATCCTACAATTAAAATAGGATACTATTAAATCATAATTTTTTTATTTACATATTTGATGAAACAATTTTAGAAAAGAATCCATAAATCTAATTCCAGTGGTTCTTAAAACTATTATTAAATTATAGAATAAATTTTAGCTATGATAATTGATAATTTCTGTAAGAGTAGTCTTTGCTATTAATTGGAGTGGTAACTAAATTCTGAGAATACCTTCCTGATAAATTCGGCTTTATCTTCAAAAAAAAAGCTCCAAATGTTAATTTTCTTTTAATATTGAAATTTGGCTATATAATTGATTTAACTAATTATCAATAAATACTTATCCATAATGAGATAATAGCGATTTCACCCAAAATTAATTTCAATACTGGCTTAGATTAAGTTACTAATTATGTATTTATAAGATTGACTAAGAAGTAACTTTTTTGAAGGACAATACAATTTTAACAAAAAGTAAGGAGATTTTAGAAAAGACATCTCTATAATACTTAGCCTAATTAATTGAAAATATAGAAAAAATGTCAAACCCAATAGAGAAAAATAGAATTTTGAAACCTTATAAAACCAATATTAAGGCCATTATATCTAACTCAATAAAATGCTTCTTTATAAAAGTAATATTTTCAAAATATTCTCATTTAGGGAGGCGTTGGATGCATCTATGATTAATGAAAACAATAGAAATATATGATAAAATATATTGTTCTTAAAAACAATATAACTCATTCTAATTTCTGAATGAGAGAGGTAAAGATTCACCAATGTTTGAGGTTCTAATTTAGGAGAGGAAAATCACTTGAAGAATAAAAACGAAAATTAGGATGTATTTGCTGTGCTGAAGGATCTATAAATTCTCAATGTTAAATTAACCGCACAGAAGGATAAAATTGTAGATTCTTTGAAGCCATTAATTAAGAGGAATTAAGGTAGGAGTTTAATAAAAATTATTATTTAATGTCACAACTTAGTGGGTTGAAAAAAATGGAGAGCTTATAATAAATTCAAATTTATGAAATTTAATTGTCAACTACAAAATTTGCTGATAAGAATATAGTTAGGTTAAAGTCTCACCTTGTGTAGAATTTGCTCGAGAACTATAAGCACATAATTTTATTTATTTAACGGAAAGGTAATTCAGACAATTTCTACCTCTTCAGTTCATAGAGGTATATGATTTGATTTGATAAAATCTTATATCAGGTCAAGAAGTGTAAAACTATTCGAAAAATTGTTTAAAATGAAGATTTAAGGAACAATTTTATTTCTTATCTAAACATAATATTTGACATTTAGACTAATAGAATATTATTAAATATATAAATCTAAAACCCTAATGAAGGATTTTATTTCAAATTATTCTAGTTTTAGAATTAAGTATATTTAATTCATATTTCTTTCCATTTAGGAATAAGTCCCTGATATTCTACCTCCTTACTTCTTAAACGATAAACTAATTTTTCTAATAACATTATACCAAATTTTTTAATTTTAAATCGAATTAGCTTGGCCTTTTGCTTTTAAACATTTAATTTCGATATTATATTTGAATCGATTAAAATATTAGATTATTTAGTTTTATTGGAATAGACAACATTCTATAAGTTACAAAAATTACGAAGGTAGAGATAAATCCATAATATATCAATATGAATAGCCTTTACATAAATTAAAGATAAGAATAAGGATGATATATATATGAACTCACTTTAGATCTAAAGAGAGTTCAATTTCAAAAAAGTAATTAATCGCGAGTGATATTTTAAGCTCTAGGTACTTTATTAAAATCACTTATAAAAAAGATTTTGTGGGCTTTCTCAAGTTTGTTAAGAAAATTCGTAAATTTTTTTTTCATTTGCCTTTAATCTGTAATAATAATATTTGAAAATACATTTAGTAATGAGAATTAAGCACTGTTAGATGAATTTTACAGCTTTAAGTCTATTCTTTAAATAATCTTATCCATTTATTGAAAACAATAAAATAAATCAATATACAAAAATTAGAACTAGTATTTAGAAATAAGTGAGAATAGATTAAATTAAAGTGTTTGAAAAGTAAAGAGACTAAACGTATTAATTTTTAATCAAAAGTATAAGTGAATAATTATTAACTAAAAGAAGCAGGATCTTAATGTTTGTTCCTAAATTAAAATAATCCAAATCAGAAGATAATCCTTGGTATTCAAAGTTAGATAAGGGTTAGACAAGTAAGGGTTAAAATATTAAGAAAATAATAGATATATGAATCGATTTAGATAAATTAAATTAAATTAAATTAAATATATAAATATAATTAATTAGAATTTATAATAATAGAATTCAGATTATTGAAATACGTGTGTGTGAATAAATATAAATTTGATATTAAATATTAAAAAATGATGTAATAAACTAATTTAAAGTTAAAATGTTAAGAAGATGATCATAAGGATGAGATTGATTTTATTTGTTATAATGAGTTTTGTCCAGGATTTCGATTAAATTGTTTTGATTGT